CAAAAATCAAAAATCAATATGTTTGATTTTTCAGTAATCCTCGAGCGAGATCCCAAGTTCAAAGAGCGACTAGTTTGTCCATAGATTTTTCACTATATTATTTAATTTTTTAATTTCTTTAGGTAATATTTTATAATCCCTCCATCCAGAGTATTTGTCCACTTTCATTTTTACACACCATCCAATACACTTCTTTAATCCATTTTATCTTGTAATTTGTATATTAAAAAATTATATAAATTATATATTAATAATCTATATGTTAAGACAAATCAAACAAGATCATACATGACTATATTTAGGCTTACACATTGAGAGAATTTGATGAGTCAAAGTATTTAGATGAACAGTTCCAAAAGTCAAAACTGGACGAATACTCCGGGACGGAGGGAGTAACTCACAAGTTCTTTGGATCTGTTGTAGGCGCTTCTGGAACATGTTCAAGGTTGTTTTCCGGATAACACAATTGTTACCCTTCATTCCAACTGATGGCCGCACACTTTTGAAGTAAAGGTTCAAGCATGCAGCCATGGCAATATGTTCTTTAGGGAATCATGGCCAATGTTTGTTGAGAATCACTGACTCGATGAGGGTCATGTCCTGTTTTTCGAACATATTGGTGGATATGATTTTCTCATCCATATCCTCAAATATGCATAATATTTTGTTATGCATATTTGAAGTTGAACTTTATGTATTTTATAATAAAAAAACTTATTTATATTAAATTTCCAAAGTATTTATTGTTCTACCGTCACTTCGCACCATAATTCCTTTCAGTGCTATTTACCTACCTTCATTCAATTACAAACTACCATAAGTCATAGAAAGTAACGCAAGTTATAAAAGCTGATTTGAAGTCATCTTCGAACACATTCAAATACGAGTCAAAATTGTCAAAAATATATTCCTTAATGAATTTTCAAAATCTAACATTATTATAAAAAAGTTTGTTTTTACTATTTTATTGGTTATTTTTAAAACAACTCATCTCCTCAAGTTTTAAAAATTAACGAATGTAATAATTACTACAGGAAAGTGGGTATTTCAGCGTACTTAAAATGTTGTTCGCCACACTTATAAATGTGGAAAAAACAATTTGCCACACAAGACCTAAGTGCGGCTACGTAAATGTTTGAAATTTTTTGCCCCATTTTTTAATAAGTGTGGCTAATGAATATATTAACCACACGTAGTATGTGTGGTGAATACCTTATTTTTCCGCATTTATATGTGCGCGGATAGCTTGACACACTTATAAGTGTTGCTAATGTCATATTGTTCTTAAAAAAGTAATACTCCGTAGTAATTAATATAGAACTCCTTAATTTAAAGAAGATAGTAGTTGATCTTCTTTAAAATAAGATGTAGAAATTACAATATTATTTTGCACAAATATTAATTACCACTATTTCTTTAACTAGAAAAAAACTAATTGCTATCTAACTTTTTTTTAGAAAAATTTTTTTATTACTAAAGGAGAAATATATTTACACGTACATCCAAGATCAAGATAATCCATGATAACAAAGATATTAGTCCAAATCAGTTGGATGAAATACAAGGAATATTCTTTCCTCCAGTATGAGGCTTTGTGTAATCTAACTCCCAAAGCTAGTAGCCATAGAAATACTGCCCCACGTCCTTCTTGAGTAGAGTATATTGTTATTATTCCTTGTTGCTATTGAAAACTCAGTAAGATGCAATGTATACAAACCATAGAACTCCTATCAGTTAGTTGTGGGATTGATTGACCTAAACTTAAATAGACACATTAATAGCTCAAAATCCATGGACAGAACTAGTGAAAATAAGGATAACAAGCCTCCAAAAGCACATAAAATACCTGTTTTTTGTATTCCTCGACATACTGCTTAGCTCTCTTGAAAATAATCTTCGGCTTGGCCGGATTTTTCTTCATGATAACATCAATCTCTTGTTTCTACGCCAACGCCCACTCCTGTTCCCTCTTCTGCTTCTTCAATACTGGCTCAGAGACAGATGGGGCTCAATTCTGTTCTTCAGCCATCTTTGGAGAGAACAAATCATAAGCTTGCATCTTCATACATGATAATTCAAACTGTTAAATGAATTAACTAATTGAAAATGACAGCATTTGTCAAACAAGAGAAGGAAAAACATAATGATATGATGTAAGTCGAAGAGGACAAAAACCGCCATGACTTGGAAAATATGATAGTTTTAACAACAATACTAAATAGAATTTAAACAAACAGCACCTCTACCGTGTTAGAATTTATACATGCTAAAGTGTTGTCTAGTAACACAAGCTGTCACATACTTAAAATAACCTACAAACTAGAAACAAATAATTAACAAATCATAGTGTTTTACCTGAAAAACAACCCATAAAGAACCAGAATGTTTCACAAGAACATCTTGACCCATATTTCCAATTTTAGCATCAACATGTGCAAATGCAATAAAAGGGCTAGCAATAGTTCTCAAATTCATAAGGGGCTCAGGGTAGATGGTGGAATAGGGTCAGTACCTGACACAACTGTAATGAATTTTATTGACTCAAAATTCTCAAACACAAATTTTGCTTAATTCAATTTAAAGAAAATAAATATAGAATTACAAACCGCTAGAGCTACCTACAAAGTAAACAAAACAAAGGTCCAAACAAAGCAAGGTTTGGCTAATGGATGTTTGAAGTCCTTTACAATTTCAATTTTCGGAAGAGTGAAAAAATATTTTGAGAGATCCTAAATCAGACCACCTCCAAATTACTTTTCCTGAGCAGCAAAACATTTACCTGTTAATGACAGAATATTACTCGCGGGTGACGCGAGTTTTGTCGAAATAACTTTCAGGTCCCTCTATTTTCAAAAAGACAACCGAGGTCCTTATATTTTGTTGTAATGACTAGAAGGGGACATTTCATCCAATACATCATCCGTAAGTGTTAATAAATGTATTTTTTTCCTATTTTTCCAATACTGTTTTTTACTATTTTGCCATTACCTTGTTTTTTCTTTTTTTAAATTTTTTTATTTCATTTGTTTTAAAATAATACAAACAATTTTGAATTTTTATACGATTTTATAGAAGAAATTCTAAAATAACACTTTAAAAAATAGTAACAAAATGAAAGAAAAACAAAGAAATAAAAAAGGAGCAGCCTAAGATTTATTACCTCAAAACATTTAGAAAAGAATAGGAAAAAAATACATTTATTAACGTTTATAGATGAAATATTGGATGAAATGTCCTCTTCTAGTCATTACAACAAAATGTAAGGACCTCTGCTGTCTTTTTGAAAATAGAGGGACCTGAGAGTTATTTCAACAAAACTCGCGTCACCCGTGAGTAATTTTCTGTGTTAATGATGCAGTTATAAGCCTCATCCCAAAACCATCTTCCAAGCCATAAGAAATATGATCCTTTAAACCTAAAGCCATACAATGTCAAAACACAAGTAAAACCAGTAATTAAAATAAAAGCCAAGGTCTAAAGATACAAATATGTTGATCTAACAACCTATGGCATTAATAAAAAGCCAGGTTGTTGTTGGTTCCCAATTATAAATTAAACCAGTAGTGAGAAATCAATATACTCATGACCAATCGCAAGCATATTCAAAGATAGATTCCAAAGGATATCTGCTCAAGAAGATCTATGCCTCTACACCTCAAAATGCTATAAACGAGCAGCTGGTTAAAAAGGACGCCTCCATCAGATCCACAATACTTTGTCTTGCCTTGTCACCAGTTACTCAAGAATCTAAAATGATTAAAAAAAAGTGAGTGGATGGAATATGCAGTTTGTGTGGAAAGGAGGATATATCAATAGCTAGCAAAACAGATAATATAATTGCCATAAAATTGGCTATTCAGGACAGTAACAAATAATAAATGAGGCCATCTAGTCTGAGTGAGCATTCGTCAATTGCCTACAACATGTAGTAATTACATGATGGTACTAGCAACATTATTATAGCATTAAATCCCTATGCCATCTTATTAAAGTATTTTCAAAAGATGTGGCCTCCCAACTTAAATATGAGAGCCTAAAAATGTAAGTGTAAATTTGAATAGGGAGATTTTATGGTGAAGCATTAAAGTATTGATAAATTTATAGTGCCAATAAGGTCTTTAAACTGTGTGATTTGGTAAACATATCCAGATTAATAAGTAAGAATAGAGGGGGGACTCCATTACAAATAATCACAAACACATGATAGATCAATCTAGCTAAACTTCTTCATTGTCGACTATAACAAGGAAAAATAGCGATGTATATCTCTCGTAAACTACTTTGTAGTAGCGATGCCCCGCAAAAGGATACTGCATTCAAATTTAGTGAAAAACATATCAAATAACAGTCCTACAAGCATTAATCAAACATGAAATGAAAAAGCAACGACCGAGATTTGATGAATGGAGTACGTAGTCCTACATGAGAGTAGTCCACTACCCACTCCTTGAGGTCTACCCCACTGCCCTAATTTCTCCCTAGGAAGGAGCTACTATCTAAGGATATGCTAGACAAATTATATTCCATATTATAAAAAGGTAGCAATGTTAGTTCCAAACAAGCACAAGTAAAATGACCATTTTTAGATTGTTTATTCTAGAAAGTGATAAAATCAAACAGTAGACTTTATTTTATGTTGAAACATACACAATCCAGACCTATATAATTATATTCCATTATTTGTAGTGACTTTGGGTTATCGTTCCGTAATTATAATCAAAATTCTAATCATACTTTACGTCAACCAAGTACACTTCTATTGAAATTGGAAATATTGAACAATATGATATGGTATGAGAAATGCAAGGAAAAGAGGGTAAATCAATAACTTTTTACACATCATTTGCCTCCTTGAACTCCACAACCCTTGGCAGAGACCCCAGCAACCCAACCTTTCCTCTAGCCAAAAGAGCAGACTCATGCCTGACCAAACCAAGTGACCCTGCAGCGGCTCACCTAGCCCAAACCTAGCCACCCAATCGTGACTCACATAGACCATAGCCCTAAACACCTAGCCCGAGCCCCCATCGACAACAATTTCTCTTTGGCCCGTCCCTGACAATCGGACAATCCAACGATAGTTCGTCGACCTTAGATTCCCCCAAAATCAGAAACAAATTGAGACAAACTCGGGTAGGGAGACAATCAATCCCCTCTAGTTCATAGTCGCTCGTCATCTGCTGTTAGACCTCGCTTCGCTGGTTCCATCCTCTTGCGTCTCTCCATCCTCGATGAACAGGGGACGAGATTTGGCAACGAAATCCTTTTTCTCTTCTTTAGTTTAGGTTTGGAAAATGCCTTACACCATTGTACCCCAAACATCCTCCGCCCCCTCCATCACTACAAAAAAAGCAAGAAAAATTCAGGAAAAAAAATAAAAATTAAATACAAAATAAAATAAATGGTAAAGAGAGGGGTGACGTACATTTGGAGTACATCTTTGGTATACTCCTAGCATATCTCTTTAGGTTTCCCATACGCTCCCTCCTTTTCCCAAAAAAAATCTTATGGGTTTACATGTTTATGAATGGGGAGTGCAAAAGTGAATAAAAAGTAGAAAAGACGGGTAATTGATCGTTTACACATACAAGTGTGGTAAAGTTGAATTCAACATAATTATTTGTCACATTTAGTTATGTGTTGCAAAACAAGTGTGGTTAAATGTACATTTTCTCGTAGTAGGGGTGATTTAACCGCATTTTTCTAGCATGATTAAATGCCAAACGTTTACTTTTATACTCAACTCGAAATATTTTCTTACATTTTTTTCCTGTTGCTTCAAGTATTAGACTTGATATTATCAAAAAAAGGTGATTCTAGTGAAAAGAAGAATGATAGAAATTTTAAGCTTTGTTTTATGTTTATAATAAGGATGTAAAAGCTCCTTCGAATACATTCAAAAATTAGTCGAGACAGTAGAAATTTTATTCATTTTGGATATTTAAAAGCTGATTTGACCGCTCTTTTTTACCCGAATTGAATGCCAGCCGTTCACACATATTTTCATCCATGTAATTAATTACTAATTAGGGTGTAAAAGCTCCTTCGAATACATTCAAAAATTAGTCGAGACAGTAGAAATTTTATTCTTTTTGGATATTTATTTATCTCAACGGCCCTCTCTATTATGATTTTTATTAATTATTATCAATTTTAGTATTTTTATTAATGATTTGACCGCTCTTTATCTACCCGAATTGAATGTCAACCGTTCACACATATCTTCATCCATGTAATTACTACTTTTTAACTTAACAACTCATCTCCTCAAGTCTTAGATATTAACGAAATTAATAAAGGATGATTGATCGCATTTTTCACAAGAATTCAATGCCAACTGTTACACCTATAAGGAATTCAAGCCTCTTTGAAAAACGTTCTAATTATAGTCGAAACGGTCGAATTTTGTAGGAATTTTCACAAGTTCAAATTTGTTTTATTGTGATTCGTATTATTATTTTTACTATTTTATTATAATTTTTTTAAAATTTTATTAGTAAATTTAACTTAACAACTCATCTCCTCAAGTGTTAGAAATTAACGAATGTAATAAAGGGTGATTTGACCGCAATTTACTAGCGGAATCAAATGCCAACCGTTACTCTTATACTCAACTCTATATATTTCCTTAATTTTTTTCCTATCGCTTCAAGTATTAGACTTGTTATTATGCAAAAAGGTGATTCTAGTTGAGAAGAAAGAAAGAATGATAGATATCTGCAACTTGATAAAAAGATTCGAATGTTGGAGTGGATGAATAAAAATTGGGACACACTTCCCATTCAAAAACCGAAAGACGAGAATGATGAAGATGGATCGCACGGAGCTTCCAGAGCTGGAGAAGTTATTAACTGATTTAAATGTTTTATTTGGATAAGTTCCTAAAATGTCCTATTATTCTAGTTTGTTGTTTTTGTATTTCCCCTTTAATAAAGTTGTATCGTGTACTCTCTTATTTTAGCTTTATTATCATCGTATAAGAATATATTAATAATTTAAAGCTTTGTTTTATGTTTATTCTTGAACTACGTTTTGAACTGTTAATTCTATCCCTTTACAAATGTCATTCGGATACGTTCAAAATGTAGTCAAAATGATCGAAATTTTATTCCTATACGATTTTTATTATTATTATTATTATTATTATTATTATTATTAATGTGTTAGAGCGGACGCGCCTCACACGAATCTGTGTTAGATGTAAGAGGACATTCTCATAAATTCCAACCTTTTTATGCCCTTGTCCATAAATTCTTAGAGCAACTCCAACGCATTGTGAAAAAAGTGAGAGTGTAAATGTTATTTTACACTGTCAAGAGTGTTTTACACTTCCACTTTTTTATACTTACTCCAATCATATCTTCTATATAATACACTTTTATAATATTTAATTCATGATTGAATTTGTAATCTACAAAAAAACAAATCTATAAATAAAATTTGAAATTACAATTGGCTACATCAAAATGAAAAAAGAAAACTCCATAGCAAAAAAAGAAGAAGATACAGACATATCCAACAAGAAACAATTAGATCAATACCTACGGGCAATCCAAGCAATTAAATTGCAGCAATTTACTTGAGAGGGGGTTGAGGACAACAACAATTTTGGATTCAATGGACCAGAGGAGCAAATTGAGAGAAAGAGTAGGATGAGAAATGAAATAAAGAGACGGGGAGTGAATAGCAAATCCAAGAGGTGGGAAAATAATTTTTTAATTATTTTACACTATCTACATCAAAGTGCAGATATAGGAGGTGAGAATGGCTTTTTGCACTATAGTGCATTTTAGCCTTACATTTACACAATCCATTGGAGCACTGAACATGATATTGCATAATGGGTATATTTTACCATATGCACAATCCGCTGGAGTTGGTCTTAGGTGAACAACTCACCACACCCAAAGGCCAAAGTCGCACACCAGTACACCACCAACGAAAAACAAACATCGAATGAATCGCCTGCTCTGTTTAAAACGTAAGCATCTAACTTCTCTGTTCTCATCGAAAAGTCTCCCTTATTCACTCCCCCGCCCCGGGATCTGCCGATTCCTACAGAGCCATTCGAATTTCTCATCGACATTTCTTTGTTTTCTAAACGAGGAATGTCTTCCATCGCCGCAGGATCTGCCGTTTCCTTCACAGGCATTAGAATTTCCGGCAGATCTTCACTCCCAGGCCGCCAGATATTCATTCCGTTGCGGCAACCTTCGTCGGCTCTTAAGCTGCAATGTGGGTATGCGAAATGCGGATCCGAGAGCTCGTTTCCTCGTCATGGTAAAATTTTCAATCCAGTGATATAGTGCACCTGCAAAAGGGATGTATGTATTAATACTCTCGATTTCATATTGATCGAGTTGGTTAAGTAAATGATCTAAGTGTAAATATAGAACATGTTGGACATAAAATGAAGTTTTATAACTTAGCTACGTTTTGTGAAAGGAAAACATTTTCCAGAAAAATGCTTCAAATTTCTTATGTACGGATCTTCCCTGAAGAACTTTCTTAACTTTGGTGGTTATTTTAATATTTCCTCATGCTTATTATGGTTTATGTAGATGTAAAAGCTCAGGTTGCTGCAGTGGAACACGCTGCTGAAGTTATACCGAAAGTAGAAGCTCCTGTAGTTGTTGTCACAGGAGCTTCTAGAGGGATTGGAAGAGCTATTTCCTTGGCCTTAGGGAAAGCGGGATGTAAGGTACTTTCATTCTGCAGGTCTTGGAATCATCCTCTTATAAATTAACACTTAAATTTCGGGATGCTCTTTTAGTGTTAGTTCACTTGTACTTGTTTCTAGGAATTTGTTTTCTGTAGCGAGCCGGAATATATTGGAAACAACCTCTCTACTTTTGGGTGGGGGCAAGATTTGTGTACGCACGCCCTCCCCAAACCCACTTTCGTGGGGTCCAACTTGGTTGTTCTTATTGTTGTGTTTTTGTAGTAAGAATGATCATCATGTGCAACTTTGTTGTAGGTTTTGGTTAATTATGCAAGGTCCTCAAAGGAAGCTGAAGAAGTTTGCAAAGAGGTACTATGTACTTGGTAAATAGCTGCTACTAAATGAAAGTACGAGTATTAAGAGAACCATTAAATTAAAAGTGTTAATAACATGTCTATGACATTTGGAAGTAGTTATATACTTATATTCTGATTGAACTATTCTATTGTCCCTTCATTGTTAATTTACATTGCACATATTGCTAACTACTAAGAAACAAGTTTTATACATGATCATTTCACACCATATGTCAGTTATTACATTTCATTGAGAAATACCTTAAGATCAGAGAAATAAAATAATGAGGAAGCTACATTTCACACTTCATTGAAAAAAATTTGAATAATGTGGCAAATGGCAGTGATGAAATTAGAGTTATTACTAAGGGATTATTTAAAGCATTTGAACAATGTTATACAAAAGAATGAAATCATTGATTAAACATTTGACACACATGATCAGTGCACATTTATTAGAATGGAGACGAATGACCCGAGAACTATCTACTACATGTATCTATTGTGCTCCAAGACACTAAATGGAAAGACCGACATTATTATATGCATTATAATGTTAAGCATTTTGGAGGATCTAATAAAGAAGGTTAGTTTAGTACCTAGTAACAATATAAAGGATTGGGCCATCCGACAAAATTTAGAATGTTTAATAGAGGATTAGAATGTCTCCTCTGCCACAAACATATGTAGAGATCTACACAAAGTTGGGTGTTACTAGCTAATTGCTATTGAAGATAAGGTATGAAAGAGCTGGCTATGTTGGCTTGGGCACATTTTCGTATAGAAGTTCTCCAATATATAGAGTGAATTGTTTGAATGCTGGAGAACTAAAAAGGAATTTAGGTAGATTGGATATTACAATGGAAGGGGTAAAAATATATTTGGGCGCGGAGGCTTCCACAGCACATGGTGCGTGGAGAAAACAAGTGGAAGCTGAATGTTGCTGTAGATGACTTCTGTGATTATAATATTTTATCTTCATTCATGTGGAGGAGCCTAGTGATTTGAGATTAAATGTCGGTTATGTTTGCTTGATATTTGCAAAAAACTCCGGACAAAGGGAAGTCAGAAACTCTATGTGCTCTGAAGCATGATAGCAAACAATGTAGAAGCAAATCCTGAAGCCAGCAGTCTGGCACTTTGGCACCTTATAAGATACATTTAGATCTCTCCATTTCGTAACTCCTAAGCTTTCTTAAACTTCTTGGAAGAAAACATTGTCATTATTTACCCAGGGATTTTGATTTTAACTATGCTATATTTGCAGATCCAGGCAGGTGGGGCACAGGCTCTTGCTTTTGGTGGAGATGTCTCCAAAGAGGCCGATGTCGAATCAATGATGAAAACTGTAATCAAATAAAATAATCTTTGAACTTCTTGTGCGTCTCCTGTGCAGGTGCTCTAATTTTAGTTTATTGTGCAGGCAGTTGATGCATGGGGAACTGTAGATATATTGATCAATAATGCAGGTCATCATTGACACCACATGACAGTTTCTTAGTGTATGAGTGCTAAAAAACTTTTTGGCTAAACCTAAAACAGCTTCCTTGAATTCAGGCATTACTCGGGATGGTTTGCTGATGAGGATGACTAAGTTTCAATGGCAGGAAGTTATTGATTTGAATCTCACTGGTGTTTTTCTCTGTACACAAGTAAGTTATATACTGTATATGACTAACCATATACTTTGTTCACCCTAGGATAATTGAACATGGTTTTCAGGATATAAGATTTGAACTTTTTGCAGGCAGCTGCCAAAATAATGATGAAGAAAAAAAAGGTATTCGTATTAATAGTTTCCATCTCCATTTTTGTCTTTGCTATCTGGCTGATTGAGTTTGGTTTTGGTGTTAACTAGGTGGGTGAAATAAGTAAATGAGCTGGAACTGCTCTTAGTTACATTGAAAAGATATTTGGTTTTGTGGTTTTTTTTCAGGGAAGAATAATCAATATAGCGTCAGTTGTAGGCCTTGTTGGCAATCCTGGGCAAGCTAACTACAGTGCTGCAAAAGCAGGTGTAATTGGACTTACTAAAACCGTGGCAAAGGAATATGCAAGCAGGAAGATAACAGTGGGTTCTCAATTTTATTTATTTATTTATTTATTTTTGGCTTCATTTGACACGCCCCTGTTCCTTTTAAATTATAATGTGCATGTAACTAACTCAAACACTTATATTTACAGGTAAATGCCATTGCTCCTGGGTTCATTGCATCTGACATGACTTCTAAGCTAGGGAAAGACATTGAGAAAAAGATTTTGGACCAAATCCCATTGGGTGAGATACCTGCGCCCCTCTCTCCCTCTCTCCATCAATCTTGGCCAATTAACTCGTTTTGTATATATTTTAATACTGAAAACATGTCAATCCTATATCGTAGCAGTGCTACTTTACTGCATGAAGAGTCAATCAAACATTTGTTTTACAGTATGTCGTCCTTTGTTGCATGGACATGTTGCTGGTCTTGCATCCCGAGTTATTCTAAATTTCTTATAGTATCAGCTTTGTTATTCTCCTTCCATTGATGAAAAAAATTAAATAATATCCTTACGGGTTGAATACAAACTTTATGTAACATGAGTTTCTTTTAAGAAAGACCAGTATATCACTTAATTATATGATTTGTAATTACATCAGCAAGGTATGGGCAACCGGAAGAAGTTGCCGGACTAGTGGAATTCCTTGCGCTTGGTCCTGCAGCAAGCTATATGACAGGACAGGTGATCTTTTACAATCTTCTTCTTTATTTTATGGTTTCTCCTATGAGAAGAACCTTGCTTTGGCTCAATATCCTGGTTGGGATGTAAAGAAATCGATCCTGACCAAATATCTTGGTAGTTGAAACTGATATAAAGATGTATTGTAAAATTTCAATTTGAATTCGAATCAAATGCTAAGTGATATTCGAATTCCTTTAGTGAGGCTATTTGATACCATTCAAATTCAATTTAAAAGGTAGTTTAGCAGTTTAAGAAACTATATTTCATTTTTATCCGTTAATTCATTATCTAAACTCATGAGTGAGTCTATTTGGATCCTGAAGAATTTGAATTTGAATTTTGAATCATTTGATGTATTGAATCAGTCGTTCTAGGTGTACACCAATTGAACACTCATGTATGCACTGTGGCACACACGGGCAACACAAGCATTTTATGCCAGTATGTGCCACCACAAAACATGGAGTACAAGTGGTGTGCACTAGCCTATGTTGGTGTGCAAGTAAGCATTTTTCCGTATTCAATTATTTTAGAACCATTATCCCCTCTTTACACATTTCAGACTCATTTAATCATTGTGCAACTACTTGTCGTCATGCAGGTTTTGACAATTGATGGAGGTATGGTGATGTAAGAGGGGTTGCAGTGCTGTTGCACCCATCATTTGGTGCTGATTTGGGCTCCTTATCAAACGTGGCATATTCTAGTTAAATCTCATGCGCCATTTCCATCAGTTCATATGATGGAACGATCATTGTGTTATACATTGAATTCGAATTCCTAATAAAATACTTTACAAACCCCAAAAGAGACCCTATAACTTTCTTCGATTCTCTCTACCTGCTACCATCATGTGTGGTGTTTTTTTGAACTTTCCTATTAATTCTGGAGAGTAGGCTTTTTATCACTCAAGTTAGGGTAAAAGTTCAAGCGTGGTGTTTTTTTTACTTCATAAGATGTGATAAAAATTGAGTTCATAGAATTTTATCCTTGCTCTACATTCCAACTCAGCAATAATAAACCTAATACGATTTAAATTTAGGGTCTGTTTGGTGATTTTTAGAAATATATATATGGTAAAGATTGTAAAATCTGAAAGAAATGATATTATTTCTAAAATTTGAAATGAAATTGTTTGACACTGATGTAAAATCACGTGTTATAAGTAGTGATAGGCGGGGTAGACCACAATAGAGATGTGATGAAAATTTTGACTTTATAGAACTTTATCCTTGCTCTATATTCCAACTCAACAATAATAAACCCTTGCCTAAAAAAATAAACCCAATAAAATTTAAATTTAGTTGATGTATAGGGTTAAGATTTACGCAACTCTTATCGAGAAAAAAAGAGGGTGTTTATTATCAACTTCAATTTAACAAAGAAAAAAAAGGAGAGATTATATCTATTAAAGAGCATAGCTCTGTTATTGCATTTATTGTTTAAAACCTCACCAAATTGGCTTGAATTCAATTTTAATTAATCGGGAGTTCAACCGAGAGGAATGGGAGACTATTTAGGCTAACTGAGAGAGAGTGGGGGTTGTTTGGGCCATTTGAGTTGGAAAGAGAAGCACAATAGATTATGTGAGGGGATCTTGATACCCCTTCAACAAACACCCCTCCAACTCCCATTCTCCCAACACAACAAACACCCCCCCTTCAACAGCATCCCCTCAGCTTCAATCACATCAAACCTCAACCCCTTTCCCCAATACATCAAATGATACTCCCACTAATAATTAACTCTACGTGATCACTGAAAAAAAACAATAATCATGCCATCTTCTATACCCCACCCCACACACAAATTAATTAAACACTGCACTCCGAACTCTAAGATGTCTCAAATAGCCCTCATTTTCTCTCACTTGGTACAAAGAACCCCCATTTCATCTCATTTTGACCAAACAACTCTTAGAATGTGTGCCTGACATTAGAAGGAGGGAGGGGGGGTGAATATTGTGACACGTTGTTATACCCCGGACTGCTCCAACAAAGACCAAGGACACGCCACAAGTGTTCAAGCAAACTAAGTGATTAATGGCTAAGTTTGACATCCCTTTGGGAATGAAATGCCGTCCCAAACGACCCCTAGCTGTGGCCCTTTTGGGTTTACACCTCCCTAAAGGCTGAACCATCTAAACCCCATTCCTTCCCTAATCATCCAAAACACTTTGTTCTTTATTTCATTCCAAAACAAAGTCCTTTTTACTTCCTTTGACAACATTGGCCTAAATTGAGAGCAAAAAGACAAAACAAAAATTTTGTGTGTTGTTTTTTCCCCTTTTATTCCCTCCATTGAATAAAGCCTTCCCACACTCTTCCCTACTTCATAACCACGAAATTCCATCCATTTTTGTCCCAAAATATGGCCACATTCATCCCAATACAGTGCAAGACCCAACCCACTCATTTAAATAAAATTAGGAGACATTGATTAGATATGTCTTTTGTTTGTTGTGTAATATCATCAAGGCATCATGCCCTCACATTTTATTGTCTCTAGGCCGAATTCACCCCCTAAATAATGCAAAGCACCTCTCCTATCCATTATAAGACCAAGGAATAACCAAACAAACACTTGATGTGTCCTTTTACCTAACTTTGCAAATCTGGACAATGAACGTAACACACCTTCCTCGTGTTCCCCCCCCCCCTTATGGACGAATTCCCATCACCAAAACAGCCCATGTTCAAGCCAAAAGCGACACAAATCAGGCCACATCAATTCACTTTGGAAGCTAGCAAAAGAGGAAGGAGTGTAGGAAGTTTCCTAGTTTGTTTTCTTCTTACATATGCAATGTATTTCCCCCTTATTTATTTCGTCCGAAGATCCATTTGTAAGGAGCATATTTTGAATGAAAAACTTTGTTTACTCTTTTGAGTATTCCTTTGAAATAGTGTGATGCTATTTAGCTAAATTTCTAATTCTATATCTTAAGAGTGCTTATCTTAAGTGTGAGTTTTAGGTTCTAGATATTTGATTAAGTGTGTCGTATCTTAATTGAATTCTAGATTTAAACTCCAAGATAAGATAAGAGTGTGTAACATCTCTTAATACCAACTTGGTTTTAGCCATCCCTGATTTCTCCCATTTCAAATCTTTTCCATTTCATCTTCTTAATCTTATTCTTTTCTTCCATTAAAAACACCAAAAGAACTCCATCATCTCCATATTTTCGTTCATCCATTCCCATCATATACACCACCATTTTGTACCCATTTCAAAGCCTAAAACCCCAGAATTGACATCCCAGACATGGTTGGCTTTTTAAACGTATTTGGAACCATTGAAGATGCTTTGGTCAATTTTGGACATTGTCGATGTGGAGGTCTTAAGGCAGAGTATGGTCTCAATACAAGATCTTCAGAATAGCATGTTAAGCACATATGATCAAAACTTTGGTGAATTGACACCCCGGACAAGGTATAGATTTTTAGACATACTTGGAACTATTGATGATACTTTGTTTGATTTTGGACACTGTCGATGGTGGAGGTCTCAAGGCATAGTATGCTGTCAGTATATGATCTTCACAAAATTACGTTAGGCACATATGATCCAAACTTTGGTGAACTGACACTCGGAACAAGTTGTGGCTTTTTAGACATATTTGGAGCTATATATTGAGGGTGCTTTGGTCAATTGGGGACACTATCGATTTGGAGGTCTCAAGGCATAGTATTGTCTCAATACAAGATCTTCACAAATGTACGTTAAGCACATTTGGTCTAAACATTGGTGAATTAACACCACGGACAAGTTTTGGCTTTTAAAACATATTTGGAACTATTGTGGGTGCTTTGGTCAATTTTGCACCATGTCGAGGTGGAGCTCTCAAGGCATAATATGGTCTCAATACAAGATCTTCTCAAAACTACGCTAAGCACATATGATCTAAACATTAGTGAACTGGTGACCTAGACAAGGTATGACTTTTTAGACATATTAGGAACTATTGAGGGTGCTTGGGTTGGTTTTGGACACTGTCGATATGGAGTTGCTGAGGCATAGTATGGTCTCAATATAAGATCTTCAAAAAAGTACATTAAACACATATAATCCAAACTATGGTGAATTGACACCTCAGAAAAGGCATGACTTTTTAGACATATTTGGAAGTATTGAGGGTGTTTTAGTCAATTTTGGACATTGTCAGTATGGAGGTCTCAAGGCATAGTATGGTCTTAATACAAGATCTCAAAAAAAGTATAGTAAGCACATACGATCCTAACTTTGGTGAACTGAATCCTAGACAAGTAGTGGGTTTTGGACATATTTGGAACTATTAGGGGTGATGTGGTCGATTTCAGACATTGTCGATATAAAGGTCTTAAGGCATAATATGGTCTTAGGCTGCGTTCCGTTCGCCTGATCTGATTTGATTCTAATCTGACCTGATCGGATTAGACCTGATCAGATCTGATTAGATCTAATCTAATCTGGTTTGATCTGATCTAATTGGGACTGACACCCTTTAAAGGGTATTGGTTTTTAGACATATTTGGAACTATTGAGGAAGCATTGGTAAATTTTCTAAAACTGTCGATGTGAAGTTCTCAAGGCATAGTATGGTCTTAATACAAGATCTTGCCAAAAGTCTATTAACTACATATGATCTAAACTTGAGTAAATTGACGACCCGGACAAGGTATGGCTTTTCAGATATATTTTTAATTATTGATGGTGCTTTGGTCGATTTTGGATACTATCGATGTGGAGGTCTCAAGTCATAGTATGATCTTAATACAAGATCTGATCTTCACAACACTATGCTAAGCGCACACACACACACACACACACACACACATATATGATCCAAACTTTGGTGAATTGATACTACGGACAAGGTATGCATTTTTAGACATATTCGGAACTATTCAGGGTGCTCAAATTGATTAAGGACACTTTCGATGTGGATGTCTCAAAGCATAGTATGTTCTCAATACAAGATCTTCACAAACATATGCTAAGCACATATGATCAAAATTTTGGTGAATTGACACCTTGCACAAGGTATGCAAGGAGATGGAAGAACAACAAGAACGCCAAGATGACCAAATTGAAAGGCAAGAGGAAGAATTAACACATCTTCGAACTTCCTTGAAAGTTATGCTTCAGCGCCTTGCAGTTGTGGAGAGATGTTCTTCTCATCCATCATCGATCTCGTCTACTCATCCACACTACAATGATGAGCGTCATGAACATGTATTGAGTGATGAACACATTTCTAGTCGGGGGCGTCTATGATAACATGCGTGGTATATTTTGCTATTCTTATTAGTATTTATTGTAGGTGAGTTATGACTTTTATTAGACTTGGTATTTTGAAGTATTTTGGATGACTTATGACTTTTTGAGAACTTATTTCGAAGTTTTTATGTATTTGGAACTTATTGTTCGAAGTTGTATGACTTATGACTTTTTGAGATTATGGTATTCTACTATTATGTAATGGTTGCATTCAATATGTTTGGATTCTATTATGAGTATGTTTGTATATAGTATTTGGAATATTATTAAAATTTATATTTTTTTAAAATAAAAACAACTAGAGGCCGGTTTCCCCCCTCTAGTGAAGGAGATATGTAGAGGAAATTAAAATGTTCCCCCTCCATTATAGCGACGGAGAAATCCCCCTTTGCTATAGTGGCATCAAAGTCCGCCTTTAACTTAGAGACATATTTTTCCACCTCCAATTTAGCAACGAATATTTCCGCCTCTAATTTAGAGTCAGAAATTTTCGCTTCTAAAATTAGCAACAACCTGTTTAGCAGCAGAAGGGCTTCCACCTCTAGGTCCCCGCTAAATCTCTATCTACAGCAGATTTTATAAGATTAGAGGTAGGGGTTTTCCCTCTATTTGCAATTATTTTTGTAGTGAGAGATGATGAATAGTACTCCCTCCGTCCCGTAAAACACTTCCTCTTTCTTTTTTTATCCGTCCCTTAAAACTCTTCCTATTTCCTTGAAAAAGACTTATTTGCCCCTCCACTCAAACCCTACCCATTCAATACCTGACAATCCACCAGGAATCACTTCACCGATTCCCACACCTTCTTCGTCTCTCTCTAGATCTGCGTTTTACTCTTCCTCCTCTCCAGATCTAAGTTCTTCTCTTCCTCTTCTCTAGATCTAAATCTAATCTTCTCTCTCGAAGAATAGATCTAAAGGTCCTGAACTTCAGATCTTCTTCTCTGCCCTGATCCGATGTTATCTTGCGATCCTTCGATGCCCAGTTTTCAACTTTTGAGTGATAATGATGATGATGCACTTCTTAGATATGGATGCCCTCCTCCATCGAAGGCTGAGATTAAGAGGGCTGAGTTAAATCGATGGGGATTTGATGGAGCAGATACGGATTCCTCTGAAACAGACCCAACTTGGAGCTTCCGCAAAAAATATCTAGGGGGAAGTTACTATTCTGACCCTGAACGGAGTTACGAAGAAGAAGAGGATGAAGAGGAAGATGGGGAATCGGTGACCTCTGCGGAGATAATGGAGATGTGTGAGGAGGAATTCCTCTTTGCAGAACCTACAGGAGACCCTGCAAAACTACATCGATTCAAACAGAGTACATGCTCTATACTCTCTTTTACTTAGATCTGCGTGTGAGTATATTTTGGCAAACTAATGATGCAAATCCCTGCTTTACACGAATAAGATGTGTTCAAATGTGAGTTGCTAGTGTTGTAATGTCACCCACGTACTGTGTTGGAGACTTACAAAAATCAATTTTGCATAGGATTGGTCTACCTGTGTTCATTTGTTTATTTCTGTTGCCTCTGATAAAATTTTCCAAAAAAATCTGTAAAAAAAACAGATTCTATAAGGCTTTTTCTTTATAAAACAGATACCACACTTCTTCTTAGCATAAGAAAACAGATGCCACACTTCTTCTTAGCATAAGAAAACAGATGCCACACTGGTTCTTAGCATAAGAAAAACAGATGCTATACTTCTTCTTAGATTAAGAAAACAGATGCTACACTTTTTCTTAGATAATACACCACATACTACACTTCTTTGTCCCAAAAGTTAGTCAACATCAGCTGGTAGTACATATACATCATGTTCTATGACCAATCTATAAACCAGATTTTCATACTACACTGATTACATGCCATACAAAAATATGTGCAAAAAAGTCATTACATGGGAGTACATTACAGTATTGTACTTTTACCCATGATGTTTGTACATACAAAAAAGTAAGACTTCCAAGACTTGCTAGTCTACATGTGTTCTTCAAGGAATGTTTTTGCTTCCTGATAGACCTCTTGACTTACCCCAACATTATCTGGTAGCCTTCCAAGTCTGGCCAAACTACTTTTCCCCATGTGTGGGATTTTGAAGTTGTTGCCCCCTTTCTGTTTAAGGACCTCCCCCATTACACTTTGACATGTCAAAAAAACATTGTTTAACTTCTCAGGGGTGAGGGCTGTGAAGGATGTGGTAACAACAGTGATGAGGTCTTCTAGTTTCCTAGGTGCTGCCTGGTCTTGAATTGTATCAATTGACCTAAAATATCCCAAATCCAAAACATTAAGGTCTGGGCTATTAGGAGGCTGGAATTGAAGCTTAATGTTCCAGTCACCCTCCTGTGCAACTTGTACAAACTCTGGGTCATTCACATCCACATGTGGTTTAGCATTATCTTGATGTATGATTACATCTCTTGTTGGACCAGACCATTTTTCTTTTATTGCTGGCAGTAACTTTTCTAGTAGCATCTTTTTCATTTCATCTCTATTTATAGTGGTGGTTGCCTTGACCTCTAATGTACCTGCTGGCCTGTTTTTGCTAGACCTTTTGGCCTCAACTTCATATGTGAATGGGAATATACCTATTTTCCCATCCCAGAGGACAGCCCCATCATTCCCAAACCTAGGCCTACCAACAGCTACTAGGAACATGATTTTTGGTATGTGAGCCTTTGATTGAGCAGTTCTGTATGGGTCTGGTTCTTCTGGTAGTGCATAAAATGTTGTCTTTTCCTTTGTGATGTTAAACCATTTTTCATCAATATGAATGTAGTCATATAAATGATGAAATGTGGGGTTTATGGGAATTGATGGGGCAGTAATATGATCCAAGCAGTATTTAAGTCTCTTGAGCTTACCTTTTTCACACAAAAAAGACTTGATGGAATTAGAATGTCTTCTTATGGCCTTGCCCTTTAGCCACCTTTAGACTGTTGATTTTGAAACATCCATTGCATAGGCTAAGGCACGCATGTTCTTCCTTCTGTGAAAGGCACCCCTTTCTTTCTAGAATTCCCTATCCACTTGCACTGAACATCCACAGGTAGACCTCTCTGCATTTGAGTCTTAGCTATACTCCATATCTTTGATAGTGTTTTGGTTGAGATGTTGAATTCTGCAGCAACCTCTTTCATGCAGCCCCACTGAAGTTTGCCATTTTTACAAAATTGAAGTAGCTTGTCAACGACTCCACTACAAGAAATTTGACCTTTTGTAACAAGGTAATTGTGGCAAATTTTGTTGTAAGAACTGTATTTGTGGCAAAATTTTATGCCACAAAGAGTCAAATTTTTTGTAGTGCTCGTTTACGTTTACAATTACGTTTTTCACAACCTTTTTTTCCCAAACTACTCGTTTCTTCTTTTGCTGCAGGGGTGTCAAGACTGAGGAGGGGAACCTGGACTAAAGGCGGTAGGTTCGTACTGCATGAATTTGAAGAAAAGGAAGACAACAAAGATGCGGTTGACAAAGACGGTGATGATGGCGGGGAGACCATTGATACGTACAGCACAACGAAGAACAAAAGGGATATTTATGGACATAGTGAGAAGAAGGGGAGGAAGAAGCTAAAAAAGGACATCCTTTAAGTGGGTATTAAATGCAGAAAGAAGTTTCTAATTGATATTTATAGATTTTGTTTAGAAACTTGATATTGTAATTGGAGGGAAGTTTAAAATTTGCCAAAGATTAATTTGGCACAAAAACTTCCCTCCAAATTTGAATTTTGGCATGTAATTGTACCAGTAATAGGGATGGGGAATTATAAATCCCTGGTGTAGCCGAACTAAGCCACTGTGTGGCTGTGTACTTTTCCACCTTTTCATTTAATGCAATACTATTCACTTTTTCTCTTTACTCCTTTTTATTTAAGGGTTTGGGGGCATTTTTGGAAGGTCAAAGGGACAAATACACTCCCTTAAATTTTAGTTTTAGTCAATAAGTCCCGTGTTTTACTGGACGGAGGGAGTATATGTGTAGATGTAGATCTAATTTGACTCCTTTTCCATGTAGGAGCTGAGGTGACGCCACATTTAATTATTTATAGCAGAATGGGGGCTCGGATTTTTCTAGTGGCTATGGGATATTATTCCATCAAGATAAAAGATATACTCCCTTCGTCCGATAAAGATAGAGACATACTCCCTCCGTTTCTTAAAACCCTTTATCTTTCATTTTTTTATTTTTCTTAAAACAGTTCCCTTTTTTCTATTAAAAAACCACTTTTGCCCTCTACTTTTCATACCCTACCTATCACATTATACTTTTTCACTAATAACTAAACTATCACATCTTAGTTTTACTCATCACATCATGGGCAAAATTGGAAAGTCAACTAAAATTACACTTTCTTTATTTTGCCCCAAAGTCAAAACAAGAACCGTTTTAAGAAACGGAGGGAGTATTAATTAAAGTGGTAAAATAAGGGAGTGATAATTTTGTGTTGATTTTCTAAAAATACCCTTGATGTGATGGGTAAAAGTAGAATGTGATGTGTAGATTATTAGAAAAAAGGTATGATGTGATATGTAGAGTATGAAAAAGTAAGGGACAAAAGTGATTTTATCTCTTTGGGAATAAATGTGATAGTAAGGGATAAATGTGATAGTAATGGGAAGAACTTTGGGGACACGTTTTTTGAAACGTGAAAGACTTTTTGGAATGAAAGAAGTATTTTTACTTGAAAGTATAACTATTTTTTGAAGTATGAGTAGTGAAAGTAAATATGTTTTGGACATAGGGAGTATAATTTTATAACTACCTGATTTGTTTAATGTGTATGTGTAATATTTGAAAAAAATTCATTATTTAATCAAGAAAATTATTAACAATAATGTTGTAAAAATTAGTCAATAGATGTCGAAATATAATAATAAGGAAATACCTCAGAACAGCAAAACCCAGGAAATATATGGATGGAGAAAAGTGAATTTCAACAAGCTTCTTGGTGCATGACCATTGAAAAATGAACGGTTCCGCAATTCCATGGCGTCTTTAAACACTTTTTCCTTTTTAAAGCCCTTTACCAGGTCGCTACACCACCTGATCGGCCGGTACTGTTCTTATAACCCAAACCCCGATCCTAAATTATATAACTCCTTTATCAGAACACAATATCCATCTTTTATATATATTTGATCACATTCTAATTTCAATAAACGAAGGAAAAAGCTCCCAACCCACCTTCTCCGGCCGCGGCGGCGCTCTTTGGTGTCCGCCACGGTCGCAATTATAGAATTATTATCCTAGCTAGCTTGCTTTCTTGCTTCCAAACGCCCGCCGCGCGCGTTAGTACAAATTATGACGACGACGGAGATAATGACGACCATAGAGAATAATAAGAATAATAATAACAACAACAACAACAACAACAACAATAACAACAATGAGATGAAAGAGAGTCCGCCATTGTCCTCGTGTTTGTCGTCGTCGTCATCGTGCGAGTCATCGGAGAGCGAAGAGATGCAACGTCTTGAGGAGGCGCCCCCGTTCTGGCGGAACCGTAGGAGGCTATCGAAGCAGCTATCCATGTGCGAGACCCCACGACGTGACATAGCATGGGAGAGGCGCCGCCGGCACATCCTCCTCCAAGAGCGGAGGAGGAGCGCCGAGTGGTTAACGGACGATGATCTGAATGAACTAAAAGGGTGCATAGAACTAGGATTCGGATTCAAAGAGGAAGAGGGGCAGCGCTTGTGTAACACGTTGCCGGCGTTGGACCTTTATTTCGCGGTGAACCGGCTGCAGTATTTTTCTTCCAGCCCGGTGTCAACACCGGGGAGCAATAATAATAATAATAATAATAATAATAATAATAATAATAATAATAATAATAATAATAATAACGGAAACTTATTACCGTCACCTTCATCATCGTCTTCCATGGGAGGAAGGTCTTCGTCGCCTTTGAACAGCCCCAGCAGCGATAATTCTGATTCGTGGAAGATCTGTAGCCCAGGTGAGCCGCTAAGTGAGACAATTAACTAAAATATGCATCATTTCATTAATCTTCTCATCAGCATCAGGGGCAAAATTAGAAAGTCAACCAAAATTACATTTTTTTTTATTTTTTCCCAAATTCAAAATCGGAAGGGTTTTGTGGAAAGGGGAGTATCATTATTAGCTGCGGGCATGTTTTCATTTTTATTCACCAACCTTTTTCTATGAAAATAAAATATGCATCATTTAAGTCATTATATAGTATCATATTCTACAGCATCCAGTTTATTACTGCCTAATAGTATGTACAAATTCTAGCACGTACCGTATTATTCCATGGAAATGAAAATGAACTCGTATTATATAATTCGATTATTTGTTTAATTAATGTGATGACCGACCTGGATTTAATTAATTGATGGTATGAGTTTTTCATCACAGGTGACAATCCGGAACATGTTAAGACAAAGTTGAGGCATTGGGCACAAGCGGTTGCGTGCTCGGTGATGCAGTCATATTGAAAATTGGTCAGGATTAAATTTACTCTCTCCATTTTCTTATTTTAAGTTTTAGGAAAAATTAATACTAGGATTCTTGTTTTGACTTTTTGGAGAAATATGGAATGGATAATATAATTGTGGAGGACTTTCTAATTTTTGTTCTTGATATGATGGATAAAAATAAGATGCAATGGATTGATTAATAGCGAAAAAGTATGATGTGATATATATATATATATATATATATATATATAGAAATATTTGCACTAAATAGCACTAAAACTTAAGTTATTTCTCTAAATAGCACTTAGATTGTTTTCTTCCCTAAATAGCACTTTATAATGTCCATAATGACCAGTGATAGCAAACATTTACTTGAATAATGACTAATGGATAATGACTAAAAGTGCTACATTGAGAAAAAAAACATATGTAGTGCTATTCAAGGAAAGTCATTATGTTCTAGTGCTATTTAGGTAAATTCCTCTATATATATATATATATATATATATATATATATATATATATATATATATATATATATATATATATATATATCGACTACGGTCAGATAACACCTTATGCTAAGATCACATGCTTCGGTGAGATGACGTCAAACTTACCACATTACACATTAAAGTTCACCAATGGCCAATGCAAAGCTCATTCCTTTTAACACCAAAACTCACCTTTTTTTAAATTTTAAAAATAAAAAATTAATTAAAAAAATTGTAATACCGGTCAACAACCGATCAGCGACGACAACCGACGACCAGCAGCATGCAACGGTGTCCAGCGGAAGGTAGCAGCGGCGACAGGCAACCGACGGCAGGCGGTGGCGGCGGTTAAGGGTTGCGGTCAATAGTAAAAATCTAGTCAACACCTTTTTCTTTGATTTAATTTTTAAAAAAAATCAATTATGAAAAAATAATGGTGAGTTTTGCGATTGGGGTGGGTGAGCTTTGCAGTTGGTGTGAGTAAGTTTACAGTTAGGAGTGGTGAGTTTACATTTTCTAACAGCAGTGATGCATTTTATATTTGTAGTACTCCGTAGTAACGTTTTAGAAAGTTCAATTTATCTGTAAAATTGCTTGTGCAATTTTTTCATATTTTTTATATTCTTTGATTTTTCACATCTTTTGATTTTTAGTATATATGGGCATGCATGCGCTTAGGAGATTGGAGAATGAAGAATTTGGAATATAATGGCGGGCGGGAATGACGCGTACGTCACGTTGTACTTCGGTTCCTTTATGATTTTGATTGTGGTCATGATGAACCAACAGGCTGTACTTGCGACTTGGCTCATTCGTAGTTGAGTCGAGTATGGAACAAGTATGGGTTGTAATGTCTAGTCATCAATGGTAATAGTACATAGTTTATGTACTTTGTACGTAATTGTCAAGATTGTGTATTCGTGCATGTATTTTGTGACTAAACCAGATGTATTACTTGCAACCATGCTAGAAAAACTGGAAGGAGTTGGTAGAAACTATAATGAGTTGAAAGAAAATGAAAGAAGTTAGAAAAACTGGAATGAATTGGAAGAAACTAGGAGTTTAAAAAATCCTAGAGTCATATATATATATGTGTGTGTGTGTGTATACATATACATACATACATACATACATACATACATACATACATACATACATACATACATACATACATACATACATACATACATACATACATACATACATATATATATATATATATATATATATATATATATATATATAGATTTTGGTTCTGGTGAGAATGAGATCTTAGGAAAGAAATGAGAATGAATATGGGATGTCCGATCTGTGTCTTACTAGGTCCAGCGTTAAAGGGCTTAAAAGTATTTTCACATATCACACTCTATCTTTCCATATGCGATCAAATCAATTCTGCAGATTTCTCTCCATTGAATCAACCATGTTCTCTCTCTCTCTCTCTGACTCTCTCCTTTATTGAAATGGCGAGTTCTTTGCAATTAATCTGTATGCTCTATTCCGATCGGACTCACACTGCCATTGATTCGGATTTCTAATTCTTATTCATTAGTCAATTCTCGTGTATATATAGATTCAGGTTTGTTTTAACATTTTGATAATCATCAAAATTTCAATCTTCTTCTTGATACACATCTTCTTCTAATCCTTTTCACTTTTTTTTCGTTTTGGAATTTTATTTTTTTCAATTTGTTCCTCTTCTTCATAGACTTCTTCCTCTAATCATGGTCAGATTTTTTCTTCATTATTGGTATTTTATAATTCTTTCTTCCTTCTTCACTTAAGTCTCTTAAATTGATGGTGTATTTTTTCCTTTTAAAAATTGCTATGCTTTGATTATGCCACTATACACAGATATTGGTTCACCCAGATAGCCAGATCCTTTTTCGAACATGGATTACTCTTTTAGTGCATTTTATTTAAATCTTGATATCAATTTTTCAATCCTCCTATGCAAGTCCTCACAACAATATTTGTAGTGCATTTTATATAGTCTTACATGCTAGCTCTCAAGTAGATGTCTGTAGTGCATCATAAGGATTAAATATTGCTAATTCTTGGGCGTTGCCCTTAAAAAGTTTTACATTTAGAACATTCCTATTCAATGTGTGCAGTGCATTTTTAGCAGTTACATATTGCATGAAGGTAATGCATTATATTAAGCACAGAGTGCACATTCGATCATTTTGTGTGTTAGCAGTGCATCTTAGCGCTTGGATATTGCTACCTCTTAGATATTGTCCTTAATGGATCTTGGTTTAGGCCACATATTTACATAGTTGCTTTAAAGGATATCTCCAGAGCATAGTCTCATGCTCTAGATGCATAGTGTGGTTAGCTTTTTATCTCATGAGGTACAACTTCTAAATGTTGATACAAATAGTAGTAATAAATGCAATGATATTCACTAAATTCTTTTGTTGTTTTTGTGTCTATGATGCATTATAAATGTGGTAGATTTGCTTGTGAATGAATAAAGAGTTGGTGATTGAAGCCAGTTGCTAATATCAACAAAAAGTCAAAACAGGAACTTACACAAGTCCATACAAGTGGATGATTAAGAAACATTTTGCTGAAAGAATCGTCCTAAACAAGATGTTGCACATATTAACCTTGAAGCGAGAGACAAATGTGAGGACTAAGGGATCAGGCTATGAAGATAAGAAAAAAATAGATGGATATACACCCCCGATGTACTTGAGGATAAGTCAAAATATGCTGCTGCATTATTTATCAGTGACATGAATGAGTTGTGGAGTAAGTTTATGCACGAGATTGAAGAGTGAAACTTCTAAAATTTTTGTCATGTTTTGCTTGAATCAACCAGATTCTATAACGGGATTATTTGTTTTTACGTTCATAATTGTATGTCGTTTACTATTTTTTATTAGAGTTTTGGGTTTTTAATTAGAGGAGAATTGTATTAATTTCTTGTTTAGTTTAGTATTCAAGGTGACCCAGATGCTTCTCAACTTTGCGTGGTGCATTACTACTGTTGCGTAATGCATAATGGCTTTGTTATTGTGCATTTACTTGGTACCTAAAGTTCACATGTTTGTTCTTCACTTTAAATGCAATGCGTGGGAGGAGAAACTATACAGTTTTCATCTCTATGTTTATTAGGTTTTGTTCTAATGAATATTTTCTTTTATTCTAATCTTTATTTGTTGTGTACCAAAAAAACTCTTTTTGTAGGGCTCTTGTTCATCTCTTACGCGTATTACTGATAAAATTAGAACCCTAACGTGAATGGAATAAAATTTTTGAGAACTCTAGTTTTACAGTCTAAATTTTTTCTAAACTAAAAATTGATATTTTATGGTGTGGTATCTTATTCAATTCAATCTTTTCGACATTGATTTATGTGTCACAGGTACGACATTGCCATCATTTTTTGACACATTTAGATTGCATTTGTGTACATTCTGGTTAAACATTATGGGATCCAGTGTAACACTAAGGACTTATGGTTCATGCTTAAAATTGCATGATATACAGCCTTGATATGCATACAGAGAATATAAGATGCATTTTTACTTTAGATAATGAATCATGTTATGGTGCGCTTTAAGAATCAAAATTAATGGAATAAAATTTGAATAAAATTAAAGGGACAAATCAAAGTGCATATATCGACCATCAAATTTCATTCGCGTTAAATTATGGATTAAATATATTCAATATTGGTGTCATTGGGTAGATCTCATCGAGAGATTTCCAACGGCATATTATTTTTCAAAAACGGACTTGCGTACAAAAAATTATAAATAAAATATAATGCACAATACAATATTAAATGATATGAAATTAACAATATTATATAATACTCCTAGCTTGTGACGTGTCTAGCTAATAATAAGGGATGTACGACATTGTGGGTATTTCCCAAATTTATTATGCATTTCAAATTACGAGTCTACCCCTCTTAACCAATTTGACCCTAATTAAATGCTTTGCAATTATTACTTCCCAAATATATCCCACACGGTTGGACCCCATCCCAATCAATTTATGGCCGCACGATGCATTTAATCCTAAGCCTCAGATTTATTCTTATTTCTCTCCACAAGGTCCATTCTCATAGGAACTGGCCCCTATATATATATATATATATATATATATATATATATATATATATATATATATATATATATATCTATATATATATATATATNATGCATCAGATCCAAAGGCTAGATTTTATTTTTATTTCTTTCACCAAGGTGCATTCTCACCTGATCCTGCCCATATATATATATATATATATATATATATATATATATATATATATATATATATATATATATATATATATATATATATATATATATATATATATATATATATATATATATATATATATATATATATATATATATATATATATATATATATATATATATATATATATATATATATATAAGTCTTCAAGCCTTTAAGTCTTCATCATGAACCATCCATTTTTTGTTCCTATTAACCCAGGCCCATGCTTGGAGAGTCTTGAAGCATGTTTGAAGTATACCCTCCGCTGTAGGATTTGCTGCGTTATGAAGAAAAGAGTTATGTGTCTTCCAAAGAGACCAAGTGCAAAGGCCTGGAGAAATGAGACGGAGATTTCCTTTGAAGTGTTTGGTGTTGCTACCAAACCACTATGCAAGTAAGTGTTGACATAAAGTAGTGTTCTCCTTAACCTTAGGGCCGTTGGAAATGGTTGCCATCAAGTTCCAGACCTCTGTGGAGTACGGAGTGATCATTGTCATCATTATCATTTTGGCAAAATGGACAGAAACTTGGAAGGGCTGTTGTGAATTTACATAGGTTTTGAGGGAAGGGATGAGCATTGTTTAGGAGTCTCCACATGAAGATCCTGACTACTTTGTAGGCACTCTAGAGACTAAAATTTCCTCCTTCCCAAAGTAGGTCTGAACTAATAGTGGTGGTATGGGAGGCTGCCAGAGCATCTGATCTGCAAACCCTTTTCTAGGTTGGGGAGTCTGTAATCCTTTCCTTCATGATTCCTGTCTTCATGTACCTTGCTCTCACATATCGTCCCAAATTCCTATGTCATTTCTTGCCTTCCACCAAAGCTTAAGAGTGTATGCTTGTTGTAGATCCTTTAGGCTTTTGATTCCCAGCCCCCCCTCTACCTCAGGTTTAGTAAGATGTGTCCATCTTGCCCAATGGTGCTTATGTGATCCTCCCTTTTGTCCCCACAAGAAGTTGGCCATGTATTTGGTGAGGGTTTGGATGATGGATTTAGGAAGAGTGTGGACTGCAAGAATGTGTAATGGGATTGATGAAAGAACATGCTTTATTAGGATAAGCCTCCCCATTTGATTTAATGTCTTGTTGTACCAAGAGTGGATAAGTTTTTCAAAGTGCCCCAAGATATCTTTGCAGTGCTCTTTCCTCAAAATCCCTCTACAAATAGGTACTCCCAGATAGGTAAATGACAGGTTCCCTCTTTTGATTCCAAGAGCCTTCTCCATGTGTTATATTTGGGAGTTGGTTGTGTTCTTTGACGTGTAGAATCTACTCTTGTTTAAGTTAATCTCTTGACCAGATGCTTTGAGGTAAATATCAAGAGAGATCTTGAGTTTAAGCAGATTTCTAATGTCACCCCTGGAAAAGATTATAATGTCATCAGCGTAAATAAGGTGGGAGGGAAAGGGGACCTGGCCTGAGTTGAATTTGAGGAGATGATTAGTGTCCATCTGCTTGTTGATGAGTCTACTGAAACCTTCTGCTGCTAGGATGAAAAGAAGGGGTGATAGAGGATCTCCTTGTTTTACCCCCCTCTCCATTTTGAAATATCCTGATGGCTCCCCATTGATGAGTATACTGAAGGAAGTCTCTTTTAAGTTGGCCATCAAAAGAGTTGTGGATAAAGTGTTGAACCCAAAAAATTTGAAGAAAAGCCTCTAGGTATTCCCAGTCAAGTTTGTCAAAAGCTTTTGCCAAGTCCAATTTTAGGATTAAATTACCCCATACACTTTTTTGTCCAGGAGATGAACTGCTTCCTGTGCCATGAGGATGTGATCATCAATAGACTTCCTTTTTGAAAAGCTGCTTGCTCCTTGGAGATCAGTTTGGGTTGGATGACGTTTAGCCTGTTGGCCAGGATTTTTGTGTTTATCTTGCATATGAAAGAGGGAGAGTATTTGGTCACAAGAGGGGCAGTGGGATTTCTTGAAACTGTCTTCAAAGTAGGATATGGCTTCAGTTTTGATTTCTGAGAGATTATTGGTGCCTGTGCCATTGGGTTTAATGATGTGAGATATTGAGAGTTTCTTTCTCTTCCCCGTGGCATATGCTTGGAAAAATTTGGACTTGGAGTCACCCTTATCAAGCCACCTGATGTTTGCCTTCTATTTCAAGTATTGTACCTCTAAGTTGGTTGCATAAATCAGTTCAGCATTGGCTTTCTACATTCTTTCTCTATTATGTTGGGTTGGATTTGCCTCGAAGTCAATTTCTGTTTGAATGGATTGCTCTTCTGCAATTTGTAGTTTGGAGAAGATTTTCCCAAACATTTCCTGGTTTCAGACTTTAAGTGCTGCTTTAAGGCTAATGAGTTTGTTTTCCAGGCCTCTCATTCCTCCTATAGTTGGCAAATTGACCCAAGTGTTTTTTACGAGAGAGTGGAAAGAGTCATGAAGTGTCCATGCATTCGGAAACCTAAATGGTTTAGGTCTAGAGGGGGAAACCTTACTACAATGCACAAGGAGAGGTTTATGATCTGAGGTGGATTTGGACAGCCAAGTTCTGCCTTCGCTCCTAACACCAGACCAAGTGAACAAACCACCCATTGGGTCAACAGATACTAGTCTACACTAAGAGCTGCAATCTGAGAATTCCTCCATACTTTGAGGGCTTGGGGGTGCATTTACCTTTAAACTCCGTAAGGGATGCTATGGTGTTGAAATCCCCCTATAATCCATTGGTGAGTGACTTTGCTTTTGTCTTGGAGATTAACCCAAAGCTCCCTTCTTTCATGGACAGTATGGGCTGCATAAACTTATGAGATAATGATTGGGGATTGAGTTTCTGTTTGGAGGAAGAGGCAATGAGAAACCTGGTTGTGATCTTGGAAGGAAGTGAGTGAGAGGTGGCTATTATCCCAAAAGATTCATCTCTTATTGTTAGAGGAGCTGATGGAATTAGAGAACCAAAGTGAAGCCTGAAGATATCAAGCTAGCTAGCATTATTAATGGGTTCAATGATACAAAGAAAGTGAAGTTTATGTTTCCTCTTGAGGAATATGAGCCTGCTGAGGGAGGAGCTGACCCCACAGGAATTCCAAAAGATAAGCTTCATAAGGGGGGTTGGGAGGTACTTCCTTCCTAGTCTTGCTCCTTGTGGCATAACCAACATGGTTTTCCTCGTCAGCTCGTTGTAAAGGCATTGAGACTTTTGAGCAAAGAGATAGGTCCATCTGAAGAGGAGTGATGGGGGTTCCCTTTGAAAGGGAAGGACCAAGATCCCCATCTGAGTGGTAGCCAATAAGGGAGATGATGTCATCCTCATCTTCCACAGGTTCCCAGGAGATAGGGGAAACATGTGAGTCATCTTTACTTCCTGGTAAGGGAGGCTGGCAAAGGATTGGCATGAAGGGGATAATTTCCTTGCAAGAATTCTGAGCAGTGGGATAAAGAAAGGAGAGATCTAGAGGGAAGGGAGAAGAGGGTAAAGTAGGGCCAAGGGTTTGAATGGGGGTTACATGATAATTTCTGAAATTGGGTGAAGGTGTGGGTTCTATATGGGGGGGAATCATCATCTGAAGTGTCTTCCACCATGGGTGTGGGTCGGGGAATGGTTTGGGGAGAAGCTTCCAAGGAGGAAGTGGGTAGTCCAGCGCCAGAAGGGGTTTTGGACTGAGGTTGTTGGAGAGGTGTGAAAAAGGGAGGGTGGTGGAGATGTTTACGAGGAGGGGGGGGCCTTAGGCCTCAAATCATGGCAGTGTTTTGAAGTTTTTCTTTTGACCATTATTCATTCATGCTTTGAACTTCTAGCTCCCGATTGGCCCACCACTTCCACCGAAGTTGTGAGTTTCCGGCAATGGGAAAGCTGGTGACCAAATCTTCTGCACTTTGAACAAAAAGGGGGATGTTCTTCATAAGAGCAAGGTAGCCACAGGTCTCTTGTGCCAAGTCTAAGATGGATCTTTGGAGGACTTTAGGTTGGGTTGTGGTGAGACTTGAGAGAGTGAGACATATATACATACATACATACATACATACATACATACATACATACATACATACATATATATATATATATATATATATATATATATATATATATATATATATATATATATATATATATATATATATATATATATATATATATATATATATATATATATATATATATATATATATATA